ATGTCAGATCCTGCCTGTCAGCAGCTGCCTAGCCATTGATCCTATGGCAAATAGTTCGAGTATTCATTGAGTCTGGTTATCTTTCACATTTACAGGTGCTTTGTAAGGTGCTCATGTGGTTAACCTAACTGCTGGAAGATGTCAGGCATCCTTTAACATGACATGGAGACATCACTGTAGAAAATGGTGTTTTTGGCCACCTCCCTCCCACAGGGGTGTCTAAACGTAGAGTTCTTTCAACCATTTGTATGGTATTGACTTTTCAGTAACATTGTTTGTTTAGCTGTGTGTCTGTGCCTGTGTCACAGAGGTCACAAAGAGGACAGAGAACAGTCTTGAGAATGGGTATTCTCCCTCCACAGATGGGTTTCAGGAACCAAACTCAGGTTATCAGGCTTGGCAGCAAGTGCCCTTACCTACCAGGCCATGTCAGTGTCCACTTTGTTGGGTTTTGTTTGTTTGTTTTGTTTTTGGAGACAGGGTCTCATGCAGCTGAGGCTGATCTTGAACGTTTGATCGCCTGCCTCCACCTCCCAAGTGCTGGGATCACAGTTGTGCACCACCAGTTCCCGCCCAGTTTGTGTTTGAAGGGTGTTCTGAAAATCCACCAAACAAGGTAGATCTTGGTTTAGTTCCAGAGGCCTCATTTGTTCCTCACTAATCCATTATTACCTGGACAGGTTGATGCTATAAGGCCTTCTCAAATGGTTGTTTTAGAAAATTCATGTGTCAATTACTACATTTTCCCTTATTTAAAAAGAAAATTTAAGGCCAGACCTGGTGGTGCACACCTTTAATCCCAGCACTCAAGGAGGCAGAGGCCGCCAGTTCCAGGACAGCCTGGTCTCCACTGAGAAAACTTATCTCAAAAACAAAACAAAAATGGGGGGGGGGTAGAGGTAGGAGAAATGGCACAGTAAACAGCTTTGGCTGTTCTTCCAGAGAACCTGGGTTCAATTCCCAGCACCAATATGGCGGCTCACAACCACTTACAATTCTGGTTCCAGGGAATCTGATGCCCTCCTCTGGCCTCCAGAGGTACCAGACACACTGTTAGTGCCCAAACATGTGCAAAATACCCATACACATAAGATTTTAAAAAGCAGTAAAACAAAAAGGAAAATTTAATTTTGTTTTGTTTTTTGAGAGAGTCTTACGTAGCCCAGCCCAACCTTGAATTCTGTCTGCAGTCCAGGTTAGCCCAGAGCTCACTATGCTTCCCCCTGCCTCAGCTTTCTGAGTACCAAGATAATGTCAGGAATGCACTGCTCCCTCCTGCCACAAAATCTGACCTTTCTGGGGTGTTCACACTAAAGAGTAGGGTGCTTGAGCCCTTGCTCTCATGGGTGAGCAGTGAACATAACCCCCCCCCAAGTCTGCAACATCCGTCCAACATGGGAAGTCATCACACGGAGTGGTCTCACTGTCTGCAGAATCGCAGGCCAGAAGTAGTGAGACATTCTCCCTAGTGCCTGTGCATTGTCCCTGCAGGTCCCACCTCCCCCACCACCCCCTCCAGAAAGTGAAGTTCTGGTTCCGCTGGGATGGAGGGGTGGAAATGGGAGCAGCTGTGTAACAACAGAGAGATGTGTTAATTTTTTAAAAACTTTGCCAGAAGCTTTTTCATGTACTTCCTTGCCTCTGTGACCAAGAGGACGTTAATACTCTCAAGTCAGTAAGAACTCAGTATTCCATCCTTACTTTCCAGCAGTTTGGCAGCTCCCCTGAGTGGGAGGGGGCAGGTTACCAGATTGCTCCTTCAAAGATGGAGTAGCCAGGCTGTGGGCTGAATGAAGCAAGAAGACGGAATAAAGTTCAAGTTCTGCCTGGGTTGCAGAGAACTTGGTGCCCCAGTCAACTAGGGCTGTTTCTGTTTTGTTTTGTTTTGTTTTTTAACCTTTGTGTGCATGTCCTCATGCATGTGTGTGTGTTGCTGTGAGTGCAGGCACATGTGTAGCATGCCACATATGTGGAGATCAGAAAACAACCTCAGATGTCAATCATCTCCTTCCACTTTGTCTGGTCATTTATGAGTGCCAGTTGGCCAGTAGGCTACTCCTGGCCCCCAGTTCTCCGTGGGAACACTGGATCTTACAGACATGCTGTGGCTCCAGCTTTTATGTGGGTTCTAGAAATTCAAACTCTGGTTCTTGTACTTTCTGTGCAAGTACCTTTCTTTATGAGCCATCTTGCCAGCTCCAACCGAGGCTATAATGGTCAAGCCAACTGTGTACTGAGATCTGATGTTAGGGACAGTATGCTCACCTCCATCCCATTAGCCCAGCCCCTGGCCTCTAGACAGGGTGGGACTCAGTGGTCAACTTGTGAGCCTTCAGGCAAGAACTTTGGTGTAATTTACCTGCCACATAGCCAGTCATTTAAATCTTCCCATTGAGTGGCTAGTGTTAGAATACAGTTCTTGTTCATGCCCAAGAAGCCTCACCTCTCAGCGACCATGCCAACCGATCCAATCCCAAGCAGCTGTCTGTCTCCTCTGCATTGGGAGGACAGCTTATAGGCTTGCTTCTCCTTCACCATGGGCTTGTGAGCAAGCAGGGTTGGGTTTCATTTTTTTGTGGGTTTTTGTTTTTTGTTTTTTGGCCACAAGAGAGACCCCGTTTTTAAAACAAACATCAAACAAGCAAAAAACAAACAAACAAACAAAACAAAACAGTAGAATTCCCCCTTAGGTAGACAGGCTGCCTTGAGAGCCTGTTTCCATGGTAGGCTCCATGATGGATAGAGAGGGGTCCCTGTCTGGTAGGCACCTTGACCTCAGCCGGCATTGTGAAATGGCAGGTTGGGACAATGTGTGGCACCTTCTTGAAGATTCTTTAATTGCAAACAGCTCTCCCAAACTCCAAGCTAGGAGCCAGGTATGTTGGCTCACATCTTTACATCCCAGCTACATGGAAGACTGTAACGGAGATCGCCAAGAAGTTCAGGCCAGTTCCAAAAACAAAAACAGAAAACAAAAATGTGTGGTGAGGAGGGATAAGCTGGGCATGATGGCACGTTCCTGTAGTCCTAGCACTTTGGGGCCTGAAGTAGGAGGATGAGGAGGAGTTCAAAGTCAGCCTGAGGTACAGATAAACATCAGAAAAAGAAACTAAGACTGTAGCTAAGACCCCTGCATCTAAGTGGGTATGTTACAGGGAGAGGTGTGATGGAAGACAGTCAGTGTCCTGGGGAGGCACCTCTGCCAAGCCAAGGAGCTGCCAGGCACTTTGTTCTCACAGTTCCTGGGGGCAGGGCAGCTAGCTGCCTTGGGTTGAATTTTGGGAGAGTGACTTGGGAGCTGTCCCAGCAGGCACCCTGAAGATGCTTATCGCTGAATGTGTTTCTTTGGGTTGCCATCGCAGTGGGGTGTGGCACCGCAAAGGACCTCAGTTAGTAATGGGTAAGATTTTTAGTAAGGCAGCATTTTCTCCCCTCCCTTGGTGCTGCAGATTCAATCGGATGTTTCTAACATGGGGACACATGATCCTCAGCACCGTGAATGGAAGGGAGGGGAAGAAACCTGTTTTACTAAAAGTCTTAGTCGACATGTACACATTCATCTTAGGCTTTGTTTTGTTTGGCAGTGCTGGAGATAGAATCTGGGACCTCCGTGGTACACAGCTGTTCTCTCTGAGGCACTACCTTAGCTGCTCAATGGGGGACTGAGGCAGGGGCTGTACCACTCAGCTGTGTCTCCAGCTCTTAGAATCTTGGCTTTTGGAGCTGGAGAGATGCCTCGGGTTAAAGAGCACACACATACTACTCTTCAAGAGGATCACAGTTCAGTTCCCAGCACCCACATCAGGCAGCTGACAGCTAGCTCCAGGGGATCCGAGCATCACACACCAAACCCTTTTTAAAGGGATCTTGGTTTCAGCTGGCAGGCCCTTTGGAGATGGCTGTTGTTCAATCCCTCAATTTAGTTGGTGCAGAGGAAGGAAGAACAAAGAGGCTGGAAGGGCTGCTGCCCTGTGTTCTCGGGTGGTCCCCATCTGCATATCAAACCAGGCTACCATCTTTCTATCACTTGTGCCCCAATTATTCAGGGTGATGAGCAGAGGAAGTATGGCTTCGGAGCCCTTCAGGCTCTCCAGAATAAGGCTGGAGTTCTTCAGCTGGAGCTCAGCCAGGCCCGGGTCCACAGGCCTACTCTTTTCACCCCCAAGCCATGCACTGGAGGACCCCAGTCTGCCTTGATGATTCTAAGGTGACAGGCTCTTGTTCGATGTTGGGCTCCTTGGACCCTCCTAGAAGAGTGAGATGTAGCATGTTGTCTTCCCTGTTCCCTGTGGGTAGAAAGGGAGGAAGAAATGCATGGCAAAAGAACCAGAGGAAATTTGTTGCCATGACAACCTTCCTGTTAACATAGGTTGACCAGGTATATCACATGCATGCACACATGTACCCTGGCTAAATGTCATTAGAGCATAAGCTGGACAAGGTGGTGCAGGCTTATTATCCCAGCACTCAGGAGACAGAGACAGGAGGATCTCAAGTTCCAGGCCAGTCTGGCTCACATAGTAAGATGCTGTCTTCTAATGAGTGAGTGAGTGAATGAGTGAGTGAGTGAGTGAGTGAGTGAGTGAGTGAGTGATTGAGTGAGTGAGTGAAATCAGCTTTCAAATGGGGCAGGGTCCTTTTAGCTATTGCTGGAAGAGTAAATGAATGAATGAGTGAATGAATGAGTGAGTGATGAATGAATGAGATCTGTGCATAAATGGGCAGGATCCATTTAGCTATTTGCCCCTGAGGGTCAGAAATCACACTCACTCATTGTCACTGTTACTGTCCTGGTACATGGAGGCTCCATGGGTTTGTCCTCATGGCACCTGTCTGGGGATATTTTTATCTTTTGTTCACAAGCAGAGTATAGCCAAAGCCAGAGTAAGCCAAAGTTTGTGTTCCCAGGGCTCATGCTGCTCCTGCCATGTGGGTGGTGGGTTCTCAGCTTCTGTACCCATTGACCTTGTACTTGACCAGCCACTGTCCTTCCTTTGCAGATGCACCTTCCGGTTCCCCAGCACAGCCATCAAGATCCAGTTCACATCCCTGTACCATAAGGAGGAAGCCCCAGCATCTCCCCTGCGGCCACTCTACCCTCAGATCTCTCCACTGAAGATCCACATTCCGGAGCCGGACCTCCGGAGCCTCGTCAGCCCCATCCCTTCCCCGACCGGCACCATAAGGTGAGCAGCCTCTTGTGCCCAGGGCTCTGAAGGCACCAGGTATCTCGAGATGGAGCTAGACTCTAGGAAGTACTGCGAGGGAGGCACCCTCAAGTCACCCCCTGTCTAGGTTGTAGATTTATGAGTTCGGGCCTCCTACATCAAGTAGGAGAATAGGTGTGTGGTCCAGTCCTGTAACCCCAGCACTCCAAAGGCTGAGGCAGGAGGATCTCCAGTGCATAGCCAGCCATGGCTACGTGAACATTCAGGGACATCATGGCCACTTAATGAGAGAGACCTTGTCTCAAGAGCAAACAGGCTGGGATGTAGCTCAGTTGCTAGAGTGTGTGGGTCCTGGGTTCAGTCCCCAGTACATCATAAACTGGGCATTGTGGTATATGCTTATGGTCCTGGATAGGGGTATAAGGAGTTCATAGTCATCTTACTTACTGCATAGTAAGTTTAAGGCTAGCCTGGTTTACTTGAGACCCTGTCTCTAGAGAGGGGAAGGGGACCCCGGTTCTGGCAGCTGTTTCCAGTGAAGCAGATTTCCCTCTCACTGCCTGTCATGTTCATCATGCTTCTAAAAGTGTCATGCCACCATCTGGTGCTGGAGCCGTGTTTCCCCTGAGCCCTGTGGCTTCCACCTCAGCTCATGGTACAGGCCAGCCCTGTAGAGATGACAGATAGTGACTGGTACTCTTGTGACTGTGGCACAAGTGTGGCCTATTCCTTGGGGGCACGATTTTGGGGACCCATAAAACCCTGAGAACTATTCTCCAGAAGAGCCATGATTGTGCTATCCCTGAGCCCTGGCCATGGCTCACTGCTATGGGCAACCTCACTAGATCCCCAAAGTTGTACCTTCTACTTCTCTGGGGTTATGTTTAATGCTGTCTATTTAAAAACTTATTTTCCCCTAGTGATAGGAATCAAACCCAGACTTTTGTACATACTAGATGTGTTAGTTACTGTTCTATTGCTGTGAAGAGACACCAAGACCAAGGCAACTTATAAAAGAAAGTATTTAATGGGGGGCTTGTTTACAGCCTCAGAGGGTGACTCTGTGGCTAACATGCTGGGAGGCTTGACATGCAGGCAGGCATGACACAGTAGCTAGATCTGCAGGCAGGGGTCGATGGGCAGAAAGAGACTGGGCCTGATAGGGACTTTGAAATCTATGGGCCCACCCCCAGTGACACACCTCCTAACCTGCCCTAAACATTTTATCAACTGGGACCAACCATTCAAACACTGGAACCCACAGGAGCCATTCTTACTTAAATCAACTCGCTGGATAAGGGAATTTAAGGCCGCTGCCACTGAGCCACATCCCTAGCTCTTGGTTGATAGACATGGACGATTCCTGATGCTCAGGCTGGCCTGGAACTCTTGATCCTTGGGCCTCTGTCACCAGCTGGGATTACAGGTGTGCACCACCACACCTGGCTGGCATTTGCCCACTTTTTAAGTTTATATATAAGAGAAAATTTTGATTCTCAGTTCTAGAGGTTCATGATCAGGGAGCCACATTTGAGGAGTCACATCTGAGGATGTCCTTCCTCTTGGTGGAAACCCAAGATGCTTAAGAGTATCACCATAAGCATGAGCACACTGTGTGTGTGTGGGGGGGGTGTGTGGGTGTGGCGGTGTGGGTGTGGGGGGGGGCGTTAACCCTTGGTTTGCCTTTGTGAATTTATTTTGTTTCATTCCATGCAATGTATGCACACTGGTCCCTTGTCTGGAGTAGGTGGCCTCTTTCCTGACAAGAGCGAGAGGTACAGCCTGGGAACTAGCAAGCCCAGCGTGCAGGCATAGAACCCTAGTGTGGTCCTGGCCATGTGGGTGATGGGTTGTGTCTTTTTGGGTAGGTCACATCCCAGCAGCTTCCCAGGCCCATGGTTCTCCCATCCGTGAAGCCTGCAGTAACACCTCAGGAAGGTGGTGGTGAGAGATGACAGCCCTCCTATGCTCAGCACCTGCCACTTGTCATGCAGCCTTGTCACTTCACCAAAGATTGCTTTCCCCAGCCTCATTTCAGGCTGAGCACAGCCCTGTTCTAACATCCAAATTCCATGTGTGTGACCCATTGATGGGGCGGCAACACAAGCCCGCCTTAGAGTTCTCTCGGCTAGTCAGGGCAGTAGGGGTGTGCTCTGTGTGTGATTTGTTTTGATTTCATTGCATTTTTTAAAATTATATTGACTTACTTATGTATCTGTTGGGAAAGGCATGTAAAGGTCAGAGGACAACTTTTGGGGTCATTTCTCTTCCCATCATGTAGATCCTGGGGCTCAATCAAACTCAGGTGGTAAGGGTTAATGGCAAGCATCTTTACCCCCTTATCTGAGCCCTGGATTTGGTGTTTTTGAGACAGGGTCTCTTACTGTAGTTAGGCTGGACCAGAACTCAGTATGTAATCTAGCCTGGGCTGAATTGTGAAGTAATCCCCCTGCCTCAGCCTCCCAAGTGCTGGGATCGCAGGAGTGAATGTCTGACTAGTAAATTGATCTGGTCCCTCTATAAAGTCCCTCTGCCCCAGTGGCTCCTGTCATGTCACTCACTCCAGTACTCATGAACAGTTAAGAAAGCTATAGCCTGTTAGTTAGACAGGAAATCACTAAAAGGCACAAGATGCCTTCGTGTGGGACAGGTGGAGCAACCTTGAAAGTGTGATGCTAGGAAAAGCTTGTGATCAAGGCCAGCCCGAGCTACTGAGTAGGGTCAAAGCCGGCCTGGGAGATTTAGTGGTACCCCATGTTATAATAAAGAGGAGTGGGATGAGTTGGGTGGTGGGACACTTAAAACTTCCTTACCCTGGAAGGGGCCCAGAGTTTGGTCCGGCATGATGGCATATGCCTGAAATCCCAGCACTTGAGGGCAGAAGCTGGCTGAAGAATCGCATAGAGCCTACATAGTGAGACCTCACCTCAAAAGGAAGAGAGAGAGAGAGAGGCTCTAGGCTCAATATCCAGTATTAGGGTACAAGATTATGGGATTGAATAGGATTATTTTTAGCATTGTTTGTTTTTGAGACAGGATCTCACTGTGTGGCCCTGGCTGACCTGGAACTCACTAAGTAGACTAGGCTGGCCTCAAACAAAGAGATTGTACTGCCTCTCTCCAGATAAAAACAGTGGTGGGGTTTGGGGGATTGCTGGGTTGGTAGAGTGCCTGTCCCTGTGTTTATCCACAGCACTGTGTAACATCAGGCAGTGTTTGGTGCATGCCGATCCCAGCTCTGGGGAAGTAGCGGCAGGAGGAAACTGTCATCCTCAGCTATGTAGAGAGCTTGAAGCCAGCGTGGATTACAAGAGACTGTCTCAAAAACAAAACGACGTTGGGTGAAGGTTGGAGTGTGGTATGGCCTTTGGTCAGGTAGGACAGTGGCTACAAGAGATGGTGGCTTGGGACCTGCCCTAGACTCCTGGGCCTTTAAGTGTCACAACAAAAGATCTCTGTTGACATCTGTTTATCTCTGCAGTGTGGAATTTCATTGAGCGTTTGTAAAGCTCAGAGGCCTGAGGTTCGTGCCTGCCAAGACTTTTTCAGTCTGAGTTTCTGTGTAGAGGTGGAACCCTCATGTTTACAAACACGCCCTGGCCTTCCCCTCCCAAGCCGCGGGAGCCAGGGCGGGGCTGGCTTGGGGAAAGGGCCTGACTTTCCAGCCAGCAGCCCTGGGTCCCGCCCTGTGCAGTCAGCTTGCCTAATTTGGTGAGCTTTGCTAGCGGGTCCCTATTGGCCGACCTGGGCACTGGGGTCCCTCCCTTCTGGGGCTCCTCCCTCCATGGAGCGGATCCCAAGGCTTGGTACCTGCCCTGTGTCCCCTTGCCTTCACTCCACCCCCACCCGACCCTGGCTCTGCTTTGCTGGTCAGCCTGGGCGGCTCCGTGTTTCCCAGGGCGGGTTGTTCCGCTGTGGTTTTGAGTGGTGTGTACATCGGGGGTTTTTGGCGGAGGTAGGGTGGGGGGGGGGTCGGGGGTGAGCCCTTTTCCCTGCCTGTAGGACTCCGCCCAGCAAATGAATGAGCTCTTTGAAAGAAACTGCGGCTTTGACAGTGTTTTGACCTTTATATCTGTGAAGAGCAAGTGATTTTAGGAAATTAAGGAGCTAGTCCTTTGCTGAGGTTACTCAGGCTAAACCAGGCTCCTTGGGGTACACTTAAGCAAACTGCTAACAGCAGCCAGGAAAATACTTGTGGATCCAGGCATGGGGCACTTGTCTGTAATCCCTACACTCTGGAGGCTGAGGCAGGAAGATCGCAAGTTTGAGGTCAGCTTGGGCTACATGGGGAGGTCTTGTCTTAAACAAACAAAAAGGGCTGTGGAGATAGCTCCATGGGTAAAGTGCTTGCTTGTGTTTGTGCCCAAGTAAAAACCAAGCCAGCATCACATCTGTGACCTGTGCTGTGGAGCCCCCTATCAGGCAGTCTAGCTGAAACTGGAAACTCTAGCTAGGTTCAGTGGGAGACCCTGTCTCAAAAGTAAAGATGGAAAGGCCGGCAAAATGGTTTGGCTGCCAAGCCTGGAGGTGGAGTTCCTGGAATCTACATGGCTGAGTCGGGAAAGTTAACCCATCAGTGCAGTGCCTAACCTCCCTCCACATATAAACAAATAGAAAAGGTTAGCATGGTGAGATGAAAGAAGGAAATGTAAGCATTGTCTGCAGAGTCCTGGCCCCTCTAGTCATGTATCTTTAACACAGTTCAACCTTATTGCTGGCTAACTCCAGCCCCTTGCTCTGAGATCTTTTGAGTGTGGAGGGCATCCCGTCTGCTTTAGTAGTCTAGTGCCCAGCCCCGCCCCGCCTCGCCCAGCCCCACCCCCAGCCTTGGTTTCACTTGCTTGTGGTTTCAGTTACTCACAGTCCAAAAATATCAAGTGGAAAATTGTAGAAAATTAACAACTTACACGTTTTCAATTGAGTGCTGCCCTGAGTAGCTCCGCCCTCAGGTGTGACCCCGCCCAGCATATCCAGTGAATGACTTGATCACCAGATCTGCACTAGGGACTGGGGATGTC